TTCTTTTTCTCAAATCTCAGGGCATTTATTTAAATTTCAGAAATATCTAGGTTCCACACATTTTAAAATTTTAGATTATTTTTTATTTATTTTTCTTCGTGGCGTTTCTTGACCTAGTCAGTGGAGAACTGATCCAGCCCCACCATGCAGCTGTGCAGCAGTAGACCACTTCTATTATATTAGTGATCTAATCTAATTAGTGATCTATTTATGGCTGCAGTCAGCCAGAAATAGATAAATATGGCAGTTACCTGTTGCTGTATGGACAGGCTCTGCTCTGCTGATCCTCTGTAGTACTGACAAGTGTAGTGACATGACTGCACTATTGATGTACATTTTAAAATTATGCTGGGATGAATAGCTTCTATCCTAGCACCATTTTAAATCTCAAGTGGTTGTAATAATGCAAGCTTGTTGGCTGACAGACTAATCCGCTGGCTTCAGTACTCCTTAAATTTGAACACCAGGAATTTAAAAAAATAACCCTTGCAGTGTGGCTAACCCCCACACTGCAAGGGTCAACTCCTTCACTTCTTCTCAAATCCCCGCTGCATACAGCCGGGGAGAGCAGCGGGTATCCAGAGAAGCCCCACGGGCGGGAGAAGAGGAGATCGCAAACTAATCTACCAGTGATCGCCACGCAATCGACTGGTAGATCGCGATCGACCTTATGGGCACCCCTGGTCTAAGGGCTCAAATAAAAAAATGATATGCATACTTAGCTGATCCTTAATTTCACCTAGCTGCTAGACCGGGTGCTGCAGCCTCTTTTCTGCCAGGCTTCAGTTGTCTAAGCCCTGCTGGCGTCATCACATCTAATGCAGGTCTATTCACCTGCATTGGATGTGAGGATCCTGACGGTCATACCACAGCTGGAGCAGGGGGATTGAGAGTTAAGCACTCGCCACTGCCTTACCGAGGATCAGGTGAGTATATCTTCTGAATGCTGGCCCCTATACCAAAATGTGTAGTTAACCCTTGCAGTGCAGGGGTCGCACTAACAAATTAGGAATTCTGATGTTGTATCCCAGAAGCCAGTGTAGCCTTTGGATGAGCATGGCAGCCAGGTAGCTAGCCTTTACATAAAGAATTTGGCACTAAATTTTTTTCCCCTATTACAAGTTTCCGTTAAATCTCTCTAGGCCTGTTTTAATAATGTGATGAGTTGTATTCTGGAGTCCTAATCTACTAACAATAAAGTGCTATATATCTAGAACAAAGCTGGTTTGTGCAGACTTTCTATGTAACTAGCTTGTGTCTGCTATCTTTACCTTAGCGGATATTTCCGGATAATTCTATATCTCTAAACATCATCTTTGCGTTTCATTACGCAGCCTTTCTGGGGAAGTATTACTAGTTCTAGTAATAGAAATGTGTCCTTTACAAAACAGAGCCACCCATCATTTTTTGTTTCACTTACCATTTGTCATGAACCCCTAACCTTCAATTCTACATCCATTCTACATCCATTCTGCATATGTTTCTGCTTTGGCTAGCTTTATAATGTCATTCTGGTTGTTTTGTATCATTTAACGTGAAGCTTGTGACACTTCCCCTCTTCTCAAATGTTCATCTCTGCTGTGCTTTATCTCTTGGCTCTACTTCTCTTCCTTTTTCCTCCTTTCCATGCTGTGCATGCCATCAGATAATGAAGCCTAACAGGCAACTGGTAAGAGTATCGCTGATAGATAAGGAGCCGTTTTCCAAATTGTTGACTGTCACATTAACAGTTGGCACTGTTGTTGCTGAAAGGGATACTGTGCTAAAGAACGAGTGCTTACTGTATTGCAGAGCTCGTTACTAAAGAGACATGGGTGCTTCGTGGCTTTTTCTTTGTGACCATATATAATATATCTCAGGAAAGAACAGTTTGTATTGCCCATAGCAAGGAAGAATCTAATTGCCATGACTTGACATGTCGTTCCTTAAGACACTTAACATTGTTGGTCCAGTCTCTGCTCTGGTTGGGGTCCATCAACTAGTACTAATTGTGATGCTCTGCTGTTACATCTGAAGAACTGTATTGGCCTTTTTTAGGTCATTAAATATCACACATGCCCAGCTTTACATCTCTGGGCATTTAATCCCCCAATTTTTTTTTCATAATATTGACTTATGAGAGAGGCAGTAGAAAAAATATAATGCTGAATTACGTTTATACTGGACTTGACATATTTGGGCTTAAAAGTGCTTACCGTAATTGATTTGATATAATATTGGAGCCTTGTTGCTCCTGGTAGGCTTTCCATTGTCAGTGATTTTGAACATTTTGTTTGTACTTTACTTCTATATTTACCTACTTGTCAAGAGGATGGCTGATTTGTCCCTATTTAGTATGTTTTGTGTATTTTATCATTAGCAATAGTCTTGTAGATTGTGACATGGTTAGTCTGACTCACTAAGCCTGTGCATAGACGCTAGTGTTTTTACATTCCATTCAGAACTCAGTAGCTCAAATTGAAAAGAGCACAGGTGAATAAGTCAGAGGCTTTTTCTTCATCGCACAGCTTCAACCAAGGTTCAATTTCAACAAAGGAAGCCAAAAGACAGGCAGCTTATGGTGTTCTGTTGCAAAACATCAGTTTAAATGTTTAAGAAAAATTAGATCTGACCGTGTGTGGCTGCTTAAAGGAAAACTGTACTAATATAAAAATTTAGGCTGTAATTTCTGACCTCTCTTGATTCAAAGGCTCCAACGCTTTGAGTAGCTGACCTGCAACAAGTATGCAGCAGGAATTCTGTCTGCGCCTAGATTTCACTTGCCACATGCTTAAACCAGGTCAGTGACTCGGGAGGCAGTTAGGTAATACAGTAGGTCGGACAATAACTATTTTCTAAAACAACTACCTCCATTTTTCTCTTACTACTGTATATGGTAAGTGCTTCCTTCTTTCTGGCTTTTGCGGGTTCTGGCACATAATTTCTACTTTTAAGAAGCAAGTTCTTACATGTAACAGTTTTCATGTGTCTGCATATGTTTTAATAATGAAATGTGGTCTTGTGTCTTCTTTTAGATGTTTGGAAACTGGACATTTGGGACCTTGGTGTTTACAGTAATGGTTTTAACGGTTACCATGAAGGTAAGATTTTCTCACACTGCCAGTCCCATTTCTTATATGATCAGTATTAGGTTTGCATCGGTGTCGATACAGAGTATTTAGGAGAGTACTCGTACTGGGCCAAATGCGCCAGATACTTATCCTGATACTGGAACTTTGGTATTAGGAAACCAGACGCCGAGCCATTACACGCTGCCCAGCTTCCTGATTGGCCAGGAAGCTGGCTCCATGCTCCCTCGTCACCAGGGAGCATGGAGCTGGCTTCCCGGCCAATCAGGGAGCCGGGGGGAAGGTAGGTAATGACTCACCGCCCGGCTTCCTGATTGGTCTGGAGGCTGGCTAATCAGGAGGTCAGGCGGTGATTCATTACCTACCTTCCCCCTGGCTTCCTGATTGGCCAGAAAGCCGGCTTCATGCTTTCTCGTCACCTGGTGACGAGGGGGAGTGAAGCTGGCTCATCAAGAAGCCGGGCAGCGAGTCATTACACGCTGTCCAGCTTCCTTAGTGAAACTTCTGGTATCGGTATTCGGTATCGGCGAGTACAGAAAAAAAATATCGGTACTCCATACCAAAAACAGTTATCAGTGCATCCCTAATCAGTATTATGTCTGTATCTGCAAGAGATTTTGTTGTGGTTGCCACACTTCTGGGCTTATAAGAGCTAGCCAAATGGAAAGAGAAGGGCTTACTACTGTACTCAGTGAAGCTGTCATAGTTTAGTACATCTATGATGTACCACTTTTTTTGCATATATAACCTTAGTCTTCTGTTAGAACCTTATAGGAATAAGACCCCTTACCCTCAGTACATGCTAATCTACAGTAAATAGCTGGATTGTCCCCATTGTCTCTAAATTCCTAAACAAAAAAGTTCTGAATAATGCGAGTGTCTTTATTACACTACGGGAAACATTTTAAAACCAATTGAAAGTATTAAGTGGTCGTCCACACTGGACCAATCACAATGACTCTTGGTATAAAATGAAATATTAGCCACTGAAATTTCAAGTGACAACAGCAAGTTAAATAAGAGAAAACCAAAACAAGTCTCTTGTTGCCCAAGTGCAGCAATGTATCTAGAATGTTAGGATTGCAGACAGATTTATATTTTATCAGTCAACCAAGAACTGACATTTCAATTTTTGATACTCAATAGTTGAATCATCTAGGATTCTTATATTTCTGGGGATCTCCATTAAAGAGATCTCTGTGCTGGAGCTCCTTATTCTGCACACCTGTTGTAACCAATTCAAGAGGTCCTACTTTCCTTGAAGTTTTTTATTTATTATTATATTATAAAGAATGCAACGAGAAGTGCAGGATAACGCAGGGTCTTGTTGAAGTATGCAAGATGTAAGAATTTAGGACCTGACTCAGCACCTATAACTAAAATAGCACTTTTTAGTAAACTAATAGTTTAAAGAACTCCAGGCAGAAATGTTAACCCTTGCAGTGGGGCTACCCCCTTACTGTGACGGTTAAATTCTTGTTTTTGTCTAGCAAAGATAACCCATATTATAACTAGGGATGCACCGAGACCAAGTACTGTACTCGGTACAAGTACAGATACTTTTTGAGCTATGAGGCTAGACAAGAGAAAAATTAATAAGTTAGGATGCAGCTGTCATTTGTAAGGAGCACACGGAGCTCCTGGGATTTGTACATCTCTGTTTTAATGCATGATTTGTTTTATATAAATATATAAATAAAGGGATGCACCGATACCAGTTTTGCGAGTACAAGTACGGATACTTGCCCATGTACTTTCAAGTACAAGTACTGATACATTTTTGTCCAGTGTCATGTGACAGTTTTTCTAAAACAATACAGACTAATGATTTCAGGACAGAGGTGGAGCGCCAGAGCTAGGTCCCAGCTGCAAAACCGCTGCAACCCTGGTAGCTCATGAAAATGCCAAGTATCGGCACTAGTATCGGTGCATCCCTAATTATAACAACAATCTTTTAGATTGCAAGCCCTCAGTGGCAGGGCCCTCCTTACCATCTTGTCTTGAATTGTATTGTGATTGTAATGTCTTCCTTATATTGTAAAGCGTTGCGCAAACTGTTGGCGCTATATAAATCATATATAATAATAACAAAGGTATGCTCACCTGAATCTTGAAGCCGGCTGGCTGCTGGACTAGTCCCCGCAGCCGGTCTTCTCCTCGGCTTCCGTGATGGGATGTCCCTCGGCATCCTCGCATATAATACACTGTATTTGAAGTGATGACTCACAGGACTTTAGAATGCTGGAGTGGAGGGGGAGTGAGGCTGCAGAGATTGGTCTAGCAGCCAGCCGGCTTTGGGACTCAGGTGAGTGTACCTTTTTGTTATTTTTGTCCCTAGACGAAAGCAAACACTTCAGATTTTTTTTTTAGTTCTTTAGATCCTATGATGGATTCCTAGCTGCAATTTCATGAATAGCATTGCAGCCATTCCTGTATCAGAAGCTGAAAATGTACTTTCAGTGCTAGTGGTTACAGTTTGAAACTCCTATCCTAGTAGTTTGTAAATAGTAATGAATTGTGTTTTTGTTTTTAGATGGCTCTAGAAACTCAGTTCTGGACATGGATGAATCATTTTGTTATCTGGGGTTCCATTGCATTTTATTTTATATTTTCCTTGTTTTATGGTGGAATTATCTGGTAAGAGCAAACCTCTTCTTTAATTTGGAGTGTGCAGCCTGTTTACAAGGACCCCAAATAAGGTTCAATTCTGGAAACCCCAGTTATCGATTTTTGACATGTTTCTGTTATATTTTATTGGAAGTCGTATATTTAGGGGAAATTCCAAAACTATAGCAAACCGATACTTGGGCTCCTAATCTAAACACAACTGACCACTTTCCTTTTAATATATACAGTAAATTCAAATGTATCATACAGCATGTCTTTACTTTGTTTTCATTATCCTGTTGGGTCAGAAATATTATTATGTTTTACAGTTATTTTTAGGAGGGAATGATGAAGAGCTATAGAAGCACAAAATGTTTACAACAGCAGTGTTTTTTTGCTCAGTTTTCTTTCTTCCCGGTTCTCTATTAAGAAATGCATTTACAATTACTAGCATTGTAATGTTGGGCCATTTGCTTAACGATATGATTGTTTAATGATCATATATTCAGAAATCGCTGCACTGAATGGGTGGTTTGATCACTTAACAGTTGTTTTAATCAAAATGGAAAGGTTAGCCCTGACAGAAAATCCAGCCAGAATTTATCTGTGAAAAATAAGCCAAGGCAACTGGCAAAAATTATCTGGAAATAAATATGTTGAATGTTGCTTCAATCCACATATTTATTCTCAGAGAATGTTTGTACAAGCCATTCTGAATTGAGAAAGCTGGTTGGATGACCAGTGAAACGTCTTCCAGAAAAATACAGCTAGTCCAGTTGCCTTGACTTATTTTTTGTAGATATACCATGACCTGGATGAATGAGAACTTTCCCACACACAGTCAGAATTTGTTGAAACTGATATTTTACTTTTTTAGATGAATAATCATTTTGAGTAAATCTAAGATGTTTGGTTACTGTTATGTACATGGTCAGCGTAAGCTGAAAGAGTTGCAACTTATTTATAAAGACAGTAGCAAAATAGCATTCATTATTACTCTTCCCAAATCCAACAAGGACCCTTTATTAACGGGCTCTTAGAAACCAGTTTTGCAGATTATAGAAGCTATTGCCAGTTATAGCTAAAAATCCTTCTCATGATTTAAATAAAGTTGTACTCCTTTTGATCCACCCCTACCCAAACTGGCTTATGCCCTCCAAATCCATCTACCCGGTCCCAATGAGCTCTTGTGTGGTTGACTTTGCTCTATGTATTGCTAATGTTTTAGTGCAATTTAGAGCAATTTGTGCAATTTCATTTTGCAGGGTCTATTCTGACCGGCTAGTGAAGACACTAGTGGGAACAAATCCAGATCTGTTCCCTTCATCACTGCCAAGGCTATATTCAACTACGTAAAAATTACATACTGTATACAAATAGGAGGACTGTTCATTACCTCCTGGAGATGTGCTAAACATCACCATTTTGTATGTGCATTCAGATATGAGGAACGTTGACCATCACTACCTGTAGCAACCAGGTTATTACTTTTAGGCCTCATTCACACTGCCGTACAATACACTTCATATAGATGCGCGCAGCCTATTTTTGCCATATGCAGCATATGCAAATAAATGGCTCCATACACATAGCTGGGTATTGAGCCGTATATTTGCACAGCGTAAAGATATGACAAAAAATGGACCCAACATTCGACCGGGCTCAGTATTTCTGTGTACAGTACATTAACATATCTATTAAGAATGATGCATTCTGGGATTGCATACAGTGCGCGCATATACGTGCGTATACGCAATATACAATTTTGCTCTTGCGCTGTGTGTGCATGAGGCCTTATTCTTAATGCACTGAAAGAATGAGGAGAATCTGATTGCGATGGTCATTATATACTGTCAGATAAAGCTCCTCCTGTGTACGATGATGAAAGATGAGATCAGTTGGGATCATTGCCTTGCTATGAAGTATAGGAAGATTTCTGCCAAAAATAATGTGCAATGTGGTTTAGAGAGAATACACCTTATTGAATATGTCAAATGTTTGCATATTAATGTGCAGTAAAACAAAAGTATTGTGTGATTTAGCTGGCTCATATGCTTTCTTTTTTTTCTCTTCCTATAACAGGCCATTTTTACATACACAAGACATGTACTTTGTATTCGTGCAGCTGCTCTCCAGTGGATCTGCCTGGTTTGCCATAATCATCATCATCATTGCTTGTCTGTTGCTTGACGTTGTGAAGAAAGCGCTGTACAGACACCTCTATCCTACAAGTTCAGAGAAGGCACAGGTATCAAGAACTGTACATGGTCATCAGACTCTTTTTTCAGAGAGGTTATTTTAGCAATCAACTTTTAAATGATGAATAAGAAGTGAACCATTTTAGTAATTTTTTCAAAGCAATATTCAGCATTGCTTGAACCATCAGTTTATAAATAAGTCATACATAATAAGATGGGATAACTGTCAAGGTGTTGGTTCTTTTTGGTCTGCTAGTCAGTACAAAGCAGAAGACAACCCAATAAACAGAATGCTGTTAGTGCCAAGGAAATGTTACAGATACAAAGGTGGACAAATTTGTTGGTACTCTTCCATAAAACAAAAACAAAATTTCATCTGAAATAACTTGAAAGTAATAGCCATCCATCTTTCATTCTCAGAGAAGCATTGCGGTTTGTCAATATGCATCTTAGCATATTCCAGTCTGGCATTTTTATGCTTTCCTTCCAGCAGTAGAGTCCACCGTGGGGTCTTCTTTCTTTGAGCCCACTTTCTTTGAGCCCACTGTCGCTCCCTTGGCTATTTGGCTACCTTGCACAATATTTTTCTTGTTCAACCTGGGGGTCAATATTCCTCGTGTAGTCAGGGACTCTCAAGGACATAAAACCTCTTAACATTTGCATTTCTAAGGGTACCAACAAATCTGTCCAGGCCATTTTAGAATATCTTTGTACAATAAGCAATAATCTTCTTTCACACTTTCTTTGGTTTACTCTATTACATAAAGGCTTGCAGATATACATAAGACAATCGCTTTAAATGTCAAGAGGAATGAAGCATTCTTTGACTGAACTGCAGGGTTAATAACACTTTTTTAAATCGGTATATATGTTACATAGCCATGTTTTGCCTTTTTTTTTTTAATACTTGTCTTGTCACTTACAATACTGCAATAACTCCAATACTGTAGGTTATTTTGCCATTGTAACTATCAGGCATGGTGAGGTAAGTCTCTGACTTACAACACAACACGATTTCAATAGTTCTCCTGTAAGACCTGTAAAACTTTGTGGGAGGTCACTAAAACCAAAGCACAAAAATTTCCAGACTGTTATAGGAAAGTTGGACTGGGGGGATATTAACATCAGAATCACAGTTTGATTTTGAATTTCTGTGGAGATTTTAATATAATGTTTAATATCTTTTGGAGTCATTTTTACGGGTACCTATGTTAGCCTAATTGCACTTTCATAATATGATTGATTTTAAACTTGCACAATAATATTCTAGAAATGGAATTCTGGAGATTGTGACTTGCGACTACGGTTGGCTTGGCAATGCAATATCTTAATACCAATATATTTGTTTTTAAATGTCCAGCATGATTTTAAATGCATTTGTTACATATAAATGTCAGTAATTCAAGCCAATACAATAAAAAAAAATAGTGACCTGTAATGTAACAAAATAAAGTTTTGAAGCGTGCATATGCCAACTACACCTTTGCCTGTTTTTTATTTTTACTGTGTTTTGTTCTGAAAATAACTTTTAGAAATATACCATAGTAACTAATGTGAATGAGCCCCGATTGTAATATAGATTGAAAAGTCTGCTTTTTTTTCTTCATTTGGAGTTCAGGTGTTCAGAACAGATGTGTGGCCAGCAAGTTGTTGTCCACAGTACTATTGGATAATAGCAATCAAAACTTACTTTGAATGCATTACATTTCTAATGTTTGTTTTACTGTGCATGATGTTAGAGTGGATTTTGTATTTTTTTCCCACTACATTGAAATGTGTTTGAAGTTCCTTACCCATGTATGAAATTACTAATTCTTATTGATGTGATGTGTGTTACATAACTTTTCTGTCCACCTATAGATGTATTCCAACAGAGTTACTTTAAGTGACGAGTTCATCGCCCTGCAGCCTCTGTCACGGGCAAGGAATCAGCTGAGCAAAATTAGGTAGAGTAGGAGGGGAGGCTCCTCATCCACTTTATTTGTTTTGCATGCTGAGGCTCTACTAACCATCACTTAGAGAGATGGAGCAAGGCATGAGTACCATTATGTTAACAGCCAGAGCTGCCAGCTATTCAGTTTGCTATTCCTTTTCTTTATTTTACCAGGTCCAAGAGCCTGCAATAAGAGTGCATGTCGTGCGTTAAAACCCCTAGCATGACACTCCGATAACAGACCTACTGTGCTATTGTTGTGTTACTTTCCTCAGCATGGTTTGAGCGCTTGTTGATGGAGGACAAACGTACAATTAAAACTATATTTGGTGCATGCTAGATAATTCTAGGCTGCAGAGGGCAGGACAGCTATGTGTTTTATAGTTTATTTTTGATTGTTTGGAAAAAGAAAAAAATCTTGTGCTTGTGCTTTCAGTGTGCGTTCACACTTAGGTTATGTTCCACTGTAAATGTATTTTTATTTGTACTTTTCACAATTATGACTCACAGGTTTGGCAACAGAGCTGTAGGAAGCAACACATTTAAAAGGGATGAAGTTATGTAATATAGATAATTTTTGCTGTACCGTACAGTTTGTGCTGTATGTCAGTAGGGAAAAATAAATCCAGGATTTTATAATATATGGATATTATTTTGAAGCAGATTATGGAGTGTGTGGGGGTGAACTGATAAAGCCCCGCTGATGTACTAAAATTAGGAACAAAGAAGGCTATGAATTTATAGTGTAACAGAATGAGACTATGTAATGTATACCTAATATTAATACCTACTTTTAAAGCTTTACTATTTTATGAATGTAAGAAATACTATTCAGTAAAATTTTGACTCTTAACAGTAAGACCTAATTAGACTCTAGCACAAATGTAGCTTATTTAATGACCTAAAATAACAAAATACATATAGTATATGCTCCACCAACCTATAATAACTAATTATATGGCAGCTAACTGCAATTAGAGCAAGGCCACACCGTGTGAAAAATCTGGGATATCGACTTAGTTCATTGTAGGTCACCAGTCACACGAGCGTGGAAGATAGATTCCTATTTCATAGATTCTCTGATCTTCACTTATGAAAACCATAGCGCACAAGTACAAGATCAATTGTAATCCCCCCCTCGAACAAGTATAAGAATAACAAAAGCTAATATTTAAAAGTATATCTAAATCCAGAACTTTAGTTAGTGAAAGTACATCTCTTCAAAGTGAACCCTACAAGAAGGATGCCTAACTTTCCATGTAAACAGAATTGTCTGTAGAAAAAAGCCACTGTACAGAACTGAGTTACGTTCAGGGTTAATTCGTATGTTTGCTCTTATACTTTTTTTTTGCGGTACACTTTGGTTGGTGATGTAGTACGTTTTTGACCTTAGCCATTTGTATGGTTATTAGTAAATGAAAATGACAACATGTATCCATCTGGAAAATTAGCAAACTCTTTTGAGACAGGCTTTAACTTGCAGACTAGTGCTTAAAAGTAGAAGAAGACAAGGGGATAGCTTTCTGTCTAGATAATTTTTCTTCTTGCCATCAAGAGTGTGGCTACTTTTGGATCATGTACTAGAGTAGCTTAGTAATGTCTGGCATTTAGAATGGGGTTACAGTAGTGAGTATCATTAAGTAAAAGTATATCCAAAAAAGGCAAATAAATTTTTTGGATGTTAAACACAGATTACAATTGGAATGCTTGTTGTAATTTACTAGCAACATTTCAGCAAGATTCATCACTTCTTGAAACTTGTCAAAAGCCTTTTATGTTTAAAGTGATAGCCCTTCATTTGAGATCTGTGTTTAACATCCCCAAACTGGAGCTGTAGTGCGCTTTAACCTCTTTCCCTCCCACATTTTGATTATTGATCATCCCCAGCATTCCTCACGCTGGAAAATAACATAGCGTTCAGTTCCAGTGCATGTGGAAAAACTGCAGCATGCCCTATTTTTTTTTTCTCCTCTGGAACGCATGCAAGCGAACGCCCTGGAACGCACTGAAAGACCATTATAGGCTTTTTAAAAACGTCCCGGAACTTGGCAAAACGCACTGCATGTGCAGAAACTCATGCAGATCTGGTGTGAACAAGCCCTCAACAAACATCCTCCCTTTCAGAGCCACAAGCTAACACTTTACATGCCTAGTTTTCCCCAATCCTGGCAGTTACTGATCGATTTGATCTCCACTGATAATCTATCACTGTCAGCTATGACATAGTTACCACAACTGACAAAATTAGCCTGCAAATGCCACTACAGCCTGGCAGAGTTTGCAAACTGTAATAGTCAGATACAATTATAGTATTAAAAATAGGATTAAAAAAATATTTTTCTGCATTCTAATGCAGTCTATAATAGTAAAACTGATTTTTTTAATGATTAAAACAGTGTGCTAAATAAATGCCTTTTATGTCCTTAAACTTATATAAAAGTTATTAATGTATGCAAATTCAATAGAGAGCTCTTGTTAAGTTAAAGTGATATTAAACGTTTGCTGGTTTGTGTGCTTTTTTGAAGATGAGGTGCACACTTACCTTATTTGAACATTCATCTTGTTAAAAGTTGTTTGTCTCCTCCTCCTGCAGCGGGCCCCCAAACTACTGATCTTGCTGCCTGTTTGCTGGTGTCTCCTTTAGCTAGCAGGCTGCAGGAGACACCCAATGTTTCTGTATGGCAGGCCTTGCCCCTGTTCCCTGCACCTCTCTCCTACCAAAAGTTTTACTGATGACAGCAGGAGCCTATCGCTTCACTGTCCTCGGTACCCTTGCCCAGGACCAGGAAATTCGGGGAACGGGTGATATTTTCCTGGACCCGGCAGAGGTGATGGGGGTTATAGCAAAGTATTTGGGGACAGGGGAGCATGCAGAGGTACTGGATATTTTTTACTTTAATGCAGAGAATACATTAGGGTGAAAAAAATGCCTAGCCTTTGGTATTACTTTAACTGGCACATGCCATGTCTGCTAAATGTCAGCATATCAGTGATTGATTGCTGGTTATAAAAGGATTAGAGGCTTCAGGAAACTTTTTGGAATTCTACTCAAACTTTGCAAATGCTTTGCCACAGCTTACTGTACATACTGCTCTTATACAAACAGGATTCTGTATT